AACATTATATTTATTTCAATAATTCACTGATACTGTGATGTATGTGACTAGGGTTAATACGAACCCGCCATTAAATGATATGGTAAATGGCTTCCAGCGATGTTGTAACAGCGACAGCTACTAGATACCTACATTCTTATATAATTACAGCTCTCCTATCAACTGTAGGTGGCGTAGGCCTGGAACAAAGACGGACAAATCCATAGCGTATCATCTTATTTATAGACAGAAAAGTGTCAGTCTGAATAGATCAATATATGTAGAAAGACTGTCTGCTGTTACCTGCCACGACTGACTGAAATCCGGCATTGAAATCCAACGATACTTCATTTTTGAAATAATCTTTTCTGGAGTCCTTGTAGTTGTCATTGGCACCCGGTCCACCAACCATTGCGCCGTACAGTACTTGCGGATTCGGTGCTGCCAAACCCAGATATCCAGCCCCGCAGGGCGCTGGCTCGTCGGGGCAGGAACTGTTTGGAAAAACAAAGACAGAAAAACTTACTTATTTTAGCTTTTGTTTCGATTTTAACCAAGTAAGTATTAGCTTACTATAGTTACTCTTGTCGAAATGAATAAATAATGCTTCTTTTTAAAAACAAAGTAATAAACTAACGATCCTCTGTGGTGTGGTTGGACTGGTGGATTCACACCATATCCTACTACAAAACTCCTTCCGGTATAGCCTAATACATAATCAACTTGAGACTTCGCCCAGTTTCTATAAGCCGTTGTTTTCACTCCAGCTTCGGCAGTTGTCAGTGCAATAAATGCTGACGCGGCTGTGAAAGAGAATATATTCCATAACATCTCTTGCTTATTTGTTTCTGTTTTTTGTCGAAATGAACAGTCATTATATATGGGGGTAGATAATGTCCGATGCCCAAGAGCATGGGGGAATAAAGCTAAAATAAACGTTGCAAATGACACCTCAATAATACAAACATACACACATGCATTACTGCTACAACGAGTTACCAGGTGGACGAACTTACTTGCATATCTCAGCGATCCCCAGTTGTCGCGGAACACCAGACCTTTTGGTGTATACGGCATGCTACCTCCCGGCAACCATTCAGTTAGAAATTTTGCAGTTACGCCAAGTTTGAAACTAGCATCATGTCGATCGGTATTTTGAGTCAACTGCAACAACATTGCCTATTGAAAAAAAGAGTTGTTAGCCGTCGAATGCAAGATGGACCCCGTGACAGTGGTTCGAATATGGGAATTATATAATCATACATAACGAATATGTCTCTTTTTCGGGCATTTGTCGCCAATGGCCATGGGAATCAACTGCTAGTATATTCCGCATTAGAAGGACAGAACCACAAACAATAACAAACTGTATGTGATGTACTTTGTCCACGCGCAATATTTACGGCGTTGTCACACCGCTGTAAAAACAACTGTTTTATTTTAAATTACTACTATGTGACGGTTTATACCGGCGTAAATTGTCAGACTAGAGTCTGCGCTCGCTCTTAAATTCTAAAAAAGAGAACATCGATATCGGCTCTCACACTGCATTACATATATAGAAACACGCTAAAAGGTGTATATTTGCCTCTGTGCCGTTTTCAACTTAAGTTTAACAACCCCTCGGACGGGGTGAGATTTTTACTGTGGTTTTGTCCTCAGATCACTAAACAATGTTAACCATGTCTAAATTGCATGTACATCTCCTATCACTGTCCAACAGAAATTGTGTTGACCCGCAACTCGTTGCTTTAAACGAGAGAATTTGTTTTAACTACTTTTCTTCAGACAAATTTGATCATCGTTTAGATGAAGATAATTTATATATTGTTGACGTTGTAGTCTTTAACGCAATAATATGTGAAAAAATACATAAATGGTACGCATTGATCGATTTGTTATACGCTCAGTGAATATTCAGAACACGAACCCAACCACAGATGGCGTGCGACATAGACATATACATGTAATAGAATTACGCCGGCATTTTTAGTGCTGTGTGATCGCACACGAAATACACCGTTGTAATGCCAGTGCGTATACCGCTACTCTCACTGGTTCTACAGCGGCGTATTTCTAATACATGTGAACAAAGTATGAATAATCCGCTTTGATTGGCATTGCGCCCTGCTTATATAAAATATGCTGCCTACCCTATATCCCACCGTTACATCATTCCAACCAAATGCATACGGTTTCAAGAATGATTCGCCGTTAAACAGGAGTATTGCTCGGTCGAGGTATGATATTTCGTTTGTAGCTTTATACAGCCAGCACGCAGCCCAAATAATCTCGTCCATATATCCGGTGGAGCTAGCAACATGAGTCGAATGAGAGTATCATTGTAATGTTTAGATAAACCAACAAATACAATAGTATGATGTTTAAGACAACATATTTGTTAAACCTAATAACAGTGGATGGTAGGAGGACAGAAAATAAGGATAAAAGAAAACGGAATTTGTGTATGTTTTTGACCGTTATGATTATATACACACAGATATTCTTCGATTGACTTATTTAACTTGATGATATTGTCATGGAAATATTTAGTTACTCGGACATTCATGTAATTTCGCCTATATTCGAGACACGTCTCCCGCCCTGGGAACCTACATTTCGCGGGAACATTGCAATCCGTATATGTAAATAACACGCGTTTAACTTTTCTTAGCCTATTACGTGCTGATTTTAAAGTCACGTGATCGAATTATGAGGTCATCTTGTTTTCCCCTTAGTATATTTGAGTGAGTGAGTGAGTGTGTCTTGTAATTCGGTGCGGTACGATGAAGAATACAATTATTTGGTCTTTTATTCCCGACGGGTGAGAGTTCACTGGTTGCTAGTAGTCATCCAAGCGAGTATTTTTGTTATCGACCCCATCGACCCTCGATTGCCGCGAATACCGTCGGTTTGTTATAGGGTGATATAAATTGTGAGAGTCCCTGAAATACTCAAATATTTCTCTTACAATATTCTATCTCCTACACGTACAATTACTATAGTTACCATCACTGTACCCTTCTACACTAAGTTAAGTAAGTACTTGTGTACTACTGTAGTGTATGCCCGATTTGTTGTAGACACTACGATATATTAAAACTATAATTCAAGCAAACGCTAAACGTGTGTCCAGATAGCTAATAAATAACACATCCCTCACTGTGATGCTAAACCAACAACATTTGTTGAATTTTACCAATTTTAATTATACATACATAATGTCAAATGTTGTGTAATTTACTATGTGTGCACCATAAAACAAAACAGAATGCAAGCTAACTAATATAGAATACGCATAGATAGTGTTACGCACGGACATATGCGAATGTGTACATAGTATAGATGCAATTACACAAATAATCGGAGAAATGGAGACCGTTTACTTACTCATATACTTTAGCAGCCATGGGTATACTGACAGAATATTTCTCTCTGAAGTCGTCGGCAAAAGTGAATAGCTCTCTTGCATGATCTACCAATGTCGCAGAATAGTTTGCATCTATAATATATCAACCAATAGGCGTGATTAATGGATAATGAAATAGACATTAAATATTGATTTTTGTAATGTATTTCATCTTCGATCGCCGTATAAAGGATTCCGCGTGCGATTCGGTGACATCATAATATGCTAAAAACTGAATCACATTCAAATCTACTGAACTGCTAGGGGTGTTCGGTTATTGGGAATGTGAATACCGTGGCTATATATCACAGTACATATATCACTTAACAAAGGCTTTAAACAACAGTTTCCGACAATAAAACTTTGGAAATAGTAATTTCTTGGAGAATGGACTAGGTTAATCATGAAACACGGAATTCATAAACTCAATTGTATCCGAATAGTACATGGTTATCTCGTATAGGCAGGAGATATAGATGGGCGATCAACGGCTCCTTCTACAGTTGCACTACACTTACTGTTATGCGAACGTTCATATATATTTGATCACGGTGATATAATAGTATAAGCTATTTCCTAAACAAAGATATGTTAAATTACTTGCCCCTGTCCTTGAAAACAAAGGCAATAGCTGCCATTGCAGCGGCTGTTCCGCCAACAACATCGGACCCTGGATTGTCTTCATCTACTTTATATGCAGGCCTATCCATTGTCATGTCTTCAGCGCGTCCCCAATAACCATGATCTCCATTCACTGATCCAACCTGAACAAAACAAAGTGTGTTGCATGGGAGTCTGCATTTGTGTACAGTACGCTATTTATCTCACTGTGTTCAAAGTGATTACAGTTGTTTCAAAGAATGAGCACCACGTGCACACTATATCATCTGCAGCTTAGTCAAGAAACATATAGAGTTAGCCCATGCATATTTAAATGAAGTACAACGAACTTGATCTACTAATCATAGAATTGTATACTGTCAAATGTAATAAGAATAAAATCGCGCAAGAAGTTGCAACACCGATGTACGCATGACTCGTAATTTCTATGTAAATGTCAGCTCATTCTTTCGTATCTAATGATAATGATTTTTTTGCAATAACACA